GGTGCTTCAGTTGAGACAAGCATGGAGCTAGAAATGAGGAGACTTACGGTAGTGTAAAATGATTTTCATGGCATAAGTTTTGGTGCTAAACTGAGTTTTCTTCAAGTAATGATAAGTTCCTCAATGGTGTACCCTGGGGAGAAAAATTCATCACAGATTAGTCCAAATATTTGAGTATGAAGAGGAGGAGACACAGATCTTTCTTTCTTGCCATAGGTACTTTAATTATCGGACTACACGGTTCCTAGCTGAGGAGGGGTTTTATAAATTCCATAACTGGTTTGATGACCGGGCCTGGTACCCTTTGGGACGAATCATTGGAGGAACAATTTACCCAGGTGAGGAGAACAGGTTTTTTTGTTTTTTTTTTCTTTTTTATTTCAGCATATTATGGAGGTACAAATGTTTAGGTTACATATATTGCCTTTGCCCCACCCGAGTCAGAGCTTCAAGCATGTCCATCCCCCAGATGGTGCGCACTGCACCCATTAGGTGTGTACAGACCCATCCCCTCCTCCCCCCGCCACCTCATGAATGTTATTACTATGTGTGCACTTAAGGGTTGATCAGTTAAAACCAATTTGATGGTGAGTACGTGTGGTGCTTGTTTTTTCATTCTTGGGATACTTCACTTAGTAGAATGGGTTCCAGCTCTATCCAGGATGAGAGTAGGTTTTTTTTTAAAAAAAAAAACAGAAATAAGATACTTGTGTGTTGTAGGGCAGTTTTATTACTAATGGCTTCATTTTGTGACACTTATGATTTCATCCTGATTACAGATTTCTAAAAGTGGATCTTATCTAGATGGGAGAACATGTATGGGAAAATGGAGATGGGTAGTTTCTTATACATTCTGGACTTCTGATTGAATCCTAGAAGAGAAATTTATAAGCTTACTGCAGTTGCTGTCTTAGCATTTCTGGTGCTTTATCAAGATCTATGTAGTTACTTTATTAATACTTGAATTTGTCCTTTCTCTTTTCCTTAAGTTCTTTGTCTCAGCAGGACAACCTAATGGAGTTTCTTCTTCCTATTACAGGTTTAATGATCACCTCTGCTGCAATCTACCATGTACTCCATTTTTTCCACATCACCATCGACATTCGGAATGTCTGTGTGTTCCTGGCCCCTCTCTTCTCCTCCTTCACTACCATCGTCACGTACCACCTTACCAAAGAGCTCAAGGTGAAGGATTTGGGGTGCCAGGAGGCTTGGGAATGAATGTTATTGAACCTCTCTAGTAGATGCTGGAGGATGGGGGACCGAGAGCCTTAGATGGGCAGGGAGCCAGAGGGTAAAGATAGCTTTTGCTGGAGGGAATTAACTGGGTTCACTTCAACCCCTCCCTAGAATTGTGGTTTCTTATCATTAGCAACTGTTTGTCCTTATGAGTGAACATTTATTTGATTAAGAAATAAGAAGAAACTGAAAAAAAAGAATGAGTGAACAACTGAAAGAAATAATAAATTGCTGTATAAAGGAAAAAAACATTTAAAATGCAAAATGCGAGGCTTAGATTTTGAAGTCCTTATAATGTAAGGGAGGGAAAAAAAGCTACATGAAGTTTTCCAAAGTGGTTAGTTCTTCCTACCGGAAATGAACTTAGCGATTATTGTTGATTTTTTAAAAAACATTTATTTTAACATTCTTAAGCCGTTTGGCTTCTGTAATTGACTCCATAATGCTGACTATTTATCCAGGTTTCAGCATTGCTGACTGTGGCACCCTGGGTGCTATTCTTAGTGTGTGCTATGGAGTCAGGAAAATACCTGAGAGGTGATAAACTACTAGGAGTGCTTGGGAAGTCTGAGTTAAGTTTAGAACACTTTTCGTCCTTCCCCTTGCTTCCCTTGTCCCAAATTTGACTTTTATCAACAGATAAGTCTTTTACTTTTTTGGAGTGTGGGTTACATTTTGTTGCTCCTTTCCCCTGAGCTCAAAGGTTGTCTGGTGATGTTCCAACTTTATTACCTAAGCTCTTGGTATCTTCAGTCCAGGTAGATTATCACCTACCTTTGTTGGCGTTTTAACTCAAATAATAATAATTTTTCTTCCTTTGTCCTTGTATGGCTTTTGGACATGTGACTGGTATTCCTGTGATGAGCAGGTATTGTTAGGAGTAGGGACTGATAAGCCTGTGGGGACTGGTAGCCAAACAGCCCATTCTGGGGCAGGGTTTGATGTTTGACGTCTCACTTGATTTTTGTCTGTCCCCAGCACATGTGTTCTCAGTTTCAGACTTGGTGTCATGGGCAATTGGTCATGAAGTTTTTAGCTTTTTTGTACTGTGAGCATTTCTAGCATTTTTAGCATCTCATATTTACCTTGGAAATTGTTGGATGTTTTCTGGGCCCATTATAAACAGAATGGGCTAGTGGATCCTCTATTCTGTCCGTAGGTGTATTGGTGTTAACTTATTACCCCTCTTTACTTATAGGATGCAGGGGCTGGGCTTCTTGCTGCTGCCATGATTGCGGTAGTTCCTGGGTATATCTCTCGATCTGTGGCTGGCTCCTATGATAATGAAGGTAA